TGAGATGAAAAATACACTAAATGTGATTAATGCTAAATTTGATGTAGAAAAAAAGATCAGTGAATTTGAAGACATATATTAGAAATTATCCAAAATAAAAGGGAAAAAAGTTCAAAGATAAGAGCAACAGAACATGAAAGTGTCATAAAAGAAGCACAGATGAAATATCCATGAAAGATATATTATTTCTACCCAGCAGACAGGTACTGATTTTTTTGGAAACTGTGGCCTTTGGATTAGACTTTGGGGCCTGAACATATTTGAACATGTGAGGATAGGAATATTGCTGATTTTTCAGCAGAACAGCATAAGCAAAATCTCAGGAAAACTAATGTGAGGTTTCTATGAGGCAGTATGCAGTACCTTTTGATGGCATGGACACATGAGAAAGGAAAAGCAGAAAATAATTTTAGGAGAATGCAATGTCAGAATGGCTAAAATAAACAAGAGTGACCACATGAAATGCTGGCAAGTATTTGGAGAAACCAGGTCTCTCATATGTTGCCAGTAGGAATGTAAAATGGTGCCACCACCCTGGAAAATACATTGTCAATTGCTCAAAAAACAAAACATATACTTATCATACTACCCATAATGGTACTTCTGGGCATTTTTCACAGAGAAGTGAAAAGATATCTACACAAAACCCTGCACACAATTGTTCATAGTAGCTTTATTTGTAATAACCAAAAACTAGAAACAACCAAAATGTTCCTCAATAGGTGAACAGTTAAACCAACCTTAGTACACTGCACCATGTAATTTTATTCAACAATAAAAAGGAATGAGTTACGTATGCAACAACTTTAGATGGATCTCAAGGGCATTATGCTTAGTGAAAAAAAGCCTATCTCTAAAATTCATATGCTATAATTCAATTTACGTAACATTTTCAAGATTATGAAATTATAGACATGGAAAACGAACTAGTGGATTAAGGACGGCTGTTGGATGGCAGGTACATGTGACTAGGTGTAGCAGAGAGAAATCTTTGTGGGGATGGAAAATTCTACATACTGATTATAGTGGTAACTACACAAAACTATGAATGAGATAAAATAACATTGAACTATACACACACACTGAATCAAAGTCAAATTCCCAAACATGATTTTGTATCATAATTATGTAAGATTTAATTACTGGGGGAAACTGTGTAAATAGTGCACAAGACCATTTGCACTGTCTTTGAAAATTCCTGTGAATCTATAGTTATTTCCAAAAATAATTTTTTTAAAACATAGATTACAAAATTATACATTGTTTCTACAAAGTTAAACATACACTGACCACATGACACAGCAATCTCACTCCTAGGTATTTAACCAAAAGAAATTAAGACAATGTTCATACAAAGCCTATAAAAGAATATTTAAAGTAACTTGTGGGTAAAAACTGCAATATTTCCTGAACCTCTCTCCTGGGCTTAGTTTTCTGACATGACAGCAGGTGTTGACCGCTGCAGCCTCTCCCAGCCTCCGCGGACAAGGGGTGGAGAGAAGCTATTCTCGGCTTCTCTGTTGGGCAACTGATCTGGCAGCTGTCAGTCACTGGGGCTCCGCCTGCAGAGCGTCTCCCAGGAGGGGTGCGCAGAGGGGGGAGGGCAGGCCCAGGGGTGGGCGAGACTGGCTGCCAGAGAGGGACGAGCAGGGCCCGGCCTCTTGCGAGCAGTAAGGAGTGTCTCCCACCCAGCTCTTCCCTTAACTGATTCCGGCCTCACCAGTTTCACTGCTTCATTTGTCCCGGGTTGGGAACGCGCTTCCCACCCCCACCCAGAGCTGACAACTTCAGTCCTCATCGCTAAACCACAGCAACAGTCCAAATGTGCATTTGGATGAATACACATTTACAGAGAAACTTGTACATCCTTACAACGGATATTTACTCAAGAAAAAAAGAAATGAAGTAGTGCACTTGCTACAACATGGGTGAACATCAAGGTCTCATGCTAAGCAGAAGACAGGTACAGAACGTCATGGACACAAATGCTTCCGTTTATATGATGTTTTTGAGTGACAAAATCATAGGGGCAGAAACAGATCAGAGGTTGCCAAGAGGGTTCCCAGGGAGGGAATCAACTTCCAAATTACACAGGGAAGTATTTTGGATCGAAAAAGCTTCTTTATATCTCCATGGTGCTCGTGGTTACACAAGTGACTGTCAAAGCTCATGTAACTGCACACCTAAAATTTTGAATCTTGCCTTTATAAAGTTCACTTTAACAAGCTTGACTTCAGAAAAAATTCACATTCAATATTGTAATACTTTTTAAGCATTTTTATATATACATGAATTTAGGAATACACAAGTGGATTTGCCAAAATAACCTGGCTTTTGTCATCTCTGATTCGTAGAATTAAGACTTTTTACGTTTCTCTTTTTCTTTTTCTAGTCTAATAAGTCTTTTTGCACTAAGTAGACATTTTTAAGAACAAAAATGCTTTTTAAAAAAATTAGATATTTTTAGGGTAGATAATACACTGAAAGTCATCAGCTCTCCCCTTTAGGTCATAGATGAAGATTTGAGAGCTAAGACAAAGTGCATTTTCCCTAATTAATTTAAAAATACATATCCTTAATACCCCACACCTGGGCTATATGATCACACTGCTAATGTTGTGATCTATTTTGATGGAGCCTGGGTGGTTTTCGCCCTTCCAAAAGTTGCACTTGGTGATGCCAGAGTAAAGTGCTGAACAGATTTCCCTGGACCACCTCCTGCAGGCGGACACAGACGGCATCTGGACACACATCAGCTCTCCAGTCTGTACCATAGAAGACCAGTGATTTTTCTAAAATGTGTGACTTGCTAGTATTTTGACTTTAGGAAAATCGTAAGAATGTCACCCAACTGAAAGATTGAGACGGCAGCATGAAAAAGCAACTATTATTACTGGTAGCAGCTCAAGTCACAGACAATGAAGCCTACTCGAGAGTCAAAGGAGATATAATTTAGAAGCTAAGCATTGCGCTTAAGTTTGCCAGTGGCAAAGACTGGCTTTTTTTGCTATGGGGCCAGGAGCAATTTATCTAGACTCTCAATTTCTTCACTACTAAACTGAGAGTTGGAATACTGATTGCCATGAGGATTATATGAGGTAATTCATGTAAAGCCTTAAATAGTACCTGGAGTTTAGAAAGTACACAGTGTTGCACTTTCTATTGTACTGTTGACTATGTCGAATTAGAGATCACAGTGGCAAAATCCACTTCTGGGTCTTTTAAAATATTGAAGATTTCATGGGAGGTGCCATCAAGTCATACTTAGTTTTAGGGGCATGGACGAATAGCCTGCAGGATAGGAAACCCGTTTTCTCATTGGCGCCCCTTTCTGCAGACAGCAAATTGCACTTCAGGTGGTGAGGCCGCTGCAAGGACCTCGGTCAACCTCAATGAACAACACTCACGCGTAGCTGGAGGGATTGACAGGTCATTTGTGCCATGAAGAGGTGACACCTTTTCAAATAGATCAGAAAATCAAACAGCTAATTCTAAGCTCCTAAATTTTCTAACATTTTCCCTCTTTTTAAGAGAGGAAATGTCTTATCACACAGCTAGAGATGGGGCTGGGGGAGACAGGCGTGGAGGGAATGTCTGCTGTCAGCCCCTCTTCTCCCTCCACCTCATTAGCAAGCCAATGAATGTAGTCAAAATAGTATTTGATGTGGAAGCAGGAAGTCTGTGTTTTAATTCCAGTCCTTACTTTTACATGGAACAGGACTGTGAACATAGATTAAATTCCTCAGTTGTTGATGAGGTGAGGCACGTGGGCAAATGGACAAACAGGACAAAAAGAAAGTCAACCAATTAAACTGTAACAATCCAGTACATCAACTAGTGTAACTGAAATAATGCCCTCTCACGGGATTTTTAGGGCAGTGAAACTACTCTGTGTGATGCCATGATGGTGGATACAAGACATTAGACATTTGTTCAAACCCGTAAAATACACCACCAAGCGTGAATCCTAATGTGAACTATGGACTTTGGGTGGTGATCATGTGTCAGTGTAAGTCCATCATTTGTAATGGGTGTACCGCTCTGGTGGGGGATGCTGATAATGGGAAGGCCATACATGTGTGTGGGGTGGTAGAGGTTATATGGAAAACTTCTGTACCTTCTGCTCAGTTTTGCTGTGAATCTAAAACTGCTCTAAAAACTAAAGTCTATGAAATTAAAAAAAAATTAATATATTGCCTTCAAAGGCAGTGATACCAGGAACATAGCAACACTCAAAAACATGGGGAATTAATTGGTCATTCACATGATCAGTGAATTGATCACTGTAATAACAGAACATTCTACCATTAAGTCACTTAAGGAATAGCTGTGAAAAAGAGTGAAAAAAGCATGAGATGTGGTGTAAAAAACTGGGTCCTGAAACTTATCGATGTGATGCTAGACATGTGCATTTACATCTCAGAGAACATTTTCTCATTTAAAAAACATGAAATAATATTGCCATCCACATACCAGTGTGGTCATGGAGGTGTGACTGAACAATGTAAGTGGGAGTACTCTGCGAGCTGAAGGTGCTGAGCGAAGCAGCCAGTCCCTGACCCAGGCTGGCATCACGTGCCTCAGGCCACCTCCACTCTGACCTTTATCAGGTCTATTCACTTCCAAAGTCGGCTCGTTACACCTCAAAATCTCAGAAAAGGGGGGAGGGGGAGGGACGGAGGGAGGAAAGAGCTGACTCCTTATTCTTGCCCCCAGATTATTTAATATATGCAATTTTTTATTAAAGTTAGTCCTTAAAAATACAATTTGTTTTCATCTGGGAGTGGCTGCATTGTCAGATGTCACTTCTCTGAGGGTGGCTGACAGTGGCACCAGGCCAAATCCATGTGGGTGTGGAGACACCCAGAATAATGAAATACCACCCCACCCTGTAGTCCTGCCACCTAATTAACTGTTGTGCTCTGAAAACAAATCTTGGGAGTCAGAATAATCTCTCATCCTAGAGTTGTGGTGCAATGGAAAAATGGCAGCCTACTCACGGCGGAAACGCAGAATATCCTGAGATGCGCATTCCGGTGAGAGGCAGCGGGGGAACCGGGCTCTGCAGTCCCCTCGGAAGCTCAGCCCTGATTCCTTGCCACTCAGATCACACTTCCGAGCTCAGCAGAAAGTGCTCGCACAACCAAATCTGCTTAGCCCCAGGTCTCTGGAAAGAAAAATAATATCTTAAGCCAAACTAGATGCCTTTGCCAGAGCACATATTTTCCTCCCATTTCTCATGGAATTAAGCAGTGAGGGTGGACATAAGGATGAATACTATTAAAAAAGGAGTAAAGAAAGAGGGAAAACCTGGTAGCCCCTGACAAGCAAACACACTCAGCCCTCCTGCGCGTACAGCCCTTGAGGGAGTCCAGTACCCAAAGAATCAGGTGTACACTCAGGAAGAGTCACAGACTGATTAGAGTCTTCGAACTGGAGGGGGCCCTGAAATGTTCTGGCATATTCAAGTATTGTTATTTTATCAGTGATCCCAATGAAGGGAGACATAGGTACAGGGCAGCAGAGCTGAAACTCATTCCCCTTCTCCTTACCCTCAGCCCCATGTGCTTTTCCCAAAGCACAGGTTTTCCAGTCAAGCATTCGTGCCCAGTTTGGGGACCGACTCTTCTCTCATCACCCTGTGTTTCAGGAAATGAACTTAGACTCTTACCGGGGGGTTGCAATGTTTCTATCTTTTCTGTATCTATTCCAATGCTTCAACAATAGACAATGAAATTTTTCAAACAAGATTTTGAATATATCATGACATACATAATAAATAAAAGTGTTTTTTTTCAAGTAGAAATGGGAGGAGCAGTGTGAAGGTGAGCCCAGCTTTGGTCTCCTTTACAAATGCAGAGATAACTTCTTAAATCACCAGTATATGTATATATATACACACACACACACACAATTTTATACATACATATACAATATATACATCTACCATCTAGCCCTGGGGTAAATGCAAGAAGTATATATAGAGGGAGATTGGTCAAAATGAGGAAAGCCAGAAACAGTTTGAAAATCAGAATGACACTACGTGTGGACTTTTTCTCCGTGCCTCAGTTTCCCCTGCATCTCAACGGCTTTGAGGTATGTTGAATGTTCTATCAGCTGAATATTCCTCATGTCACAAAGAATTCTATTTCCCCATTGAACACATTATTCAGATTTTCTGCTCCCTTTCTTCCTTATTAAAGACCACTCCTCATTTTCCGTTATCTCTATCAAAACTATTAATTCACTGTGCTCACTTCAGCAGCACATATACTAAAACTCTTCATTCATTGATGCACTGAGTCATCACAGAGCATTAGTTTCTAGTCTGTGGAAGTTCCTGAAGATGAATCAGATATAAACCTTGACCTCAAGGATCTTATAATTTAATAAGGTAGATAAGGCATATGCCCAACTTAGCTCTATTTTGAAATACAAAGTGGTAATCGCCAAAAGATAAAGTGTCATGGGATCTGGACTGGGAAAATTTACTATGAATTGAAATGAGGAAAAGCTTTATAGGAGACATGAAACTTGACAAAAGCCTTTAGGAATGAATGATCTGAACACACATATGTGGGTGAGGCCCAGGAGAAGTACATTTGGAAAAAAAGTGGTATTACAGAATTTAATCAGATTGTAACAAAAGGTAAATGAAAATAATGACAGATGCCATTACAGAAGGGTGCTGGGACCAAAATGCAAAGGGCACACCCTGTCTTAACCTTGGGTCTCATTCTGCTTTATTTCTCATGGTTTTTTCTACTGATGTTTTTTAATACCAATTCTTTTTCTATTAAAATAAACATCTAGGTTAACTATTCTTCTTTAAACATTAGCTGAGTATGGACAAGTTTTGGTATGCCAAATTCAAGAGCAATATGATATGCCTTCATAAATTAGAGAAATACAATCAGTGGAACTTGTCACATATAATCGACAAGGAAATATTATTAAAAACTTGGCCAAGGCTGACACAAATGGTATTTAAAAATGGAATTGATGGTGCAGTTTTACTGGAAATGAACCATGATTTATAAATAATATTTTGAAAAAAGCAAAATGAAAAATTACCAGTTATTTTAAAAAATACTATAAGCTTGTGGTTTTTAACTGTACCTGTATACCTGTATGTCTGTGTCTAACTGTGCCTGTCTCTATCCAGGCACTCAGTCGCGATAACAGTTACTATGGCAAATTCAGTCACAGACAAGTAAGAAAAGAGAAAGCGTTGCTAGTTTTCCACATGCTCGTTTTCCTTAGCAATGCTGGGGACCGCACTGACAGTGCCCAGGGTCAGAGAACGCCAGCGTGGAAATCCGGCGACACGGCTCTGAGCTTGGTTACTGACTACAAGTCGTCAGGCCTTGGACAAGCGGCACTTGTCCTCTAAGAGCACAGATTACTCACTTACGCCATATAGAGAACAGACCAAATGGCTTCTTCTCATTTCAAATGATGATAATATAGTACTTTTGTCCTGATTCTGATTTAATGTTCTCCATAAACCTATGAGGTATTATTACCTCCATTTTAAAGTTAGAAACTGAGGCTCAGAATCTTATCTCAAATCACAGAACTAAAGAGTAGCACAGACTGACTTCAGACCCGGAAATGGGTGCCCACAGAGTCCCTGCTGTTGTGCTGTCTTCCAAATTTCAAGCTCAGCAGACTGTGATCCCACACGTCTAACTGAAAGTAACAGTGCAATATGTTTCAAAATACTTTTGCACCTTTAGCCCACTGGAGAGTAAGGCTGCTTTACTGGTCCTGTGTGGGGGGCAATTGAGAAAGGCAGTATCACTCCCACTTTGCAGATGAGGAAACCTGAGATTCCACCCAAGGGAGACTGTATAAAGCAAACTACTGCAAAGGAAGGAACACATGGTTTAAGAGCCTGCTGCCTCCACTTATCAGGCATATGAGCCTCCACACATCACTCATAGGAAGGAGAAATAATGACAATGATCTCATAAAATAATGTGAGGATTAAAGTTAAATGAAGTCTATCTAGCCCAACAATTGACCAATAAGAGGTGTGAAATAAACGCTTGTTCTATTCGTATTCCATCCCAGACCCTACTCACCCTCTTTTTGAGAACTCTATTGTTCTGTCCTTTATATTCATCAAGGAAAAATTACAAAGTGAAATACAAAAAGTATGATTCATCACATAGGATTTCCTTAGATTTGAAGGACGTCATTTTATCCAGGCTACTCATGTCTATTTATGCTTACTTGCTAATTTATTTCCACCCTGCCTTGTTCCAAAAAGCATTTGAGGCCTACAACTCAACTCCTAAATCACCTGGATATAAACAGCGGCATAAGCACGGGAGCTCACTCTCTCGGTGGTCTCCCAAGGACACCACCGCCTACAGAAAGGAAAGAAGTGCTAAGGTACAATGACCTGAGAGCTGGATGTGCTTAGAATTGAGTACTGATTGAGGGGCCATCCCCGCCTCTGACATCCGCACACTGACTTGATAATCCCTGTGACACATTATTTTAATGACTGAACTATGAGTTGCTCTTTGTTCTCACAGCTGTGCATCTGACAGCACAGAGTTAAGGCCTTACCCATTTTCATAGCTACAATACCTGATAGAGTATCTAAAGACAGTGAATACTTTCTGATAGGGAACCTTTGGGTTTTTTGCTCTCCCAATATTTAAAAATTGTAAAGCCTTGAATGGTTTTCTGATCAAGAACATTCCCTGATCCATGCAGAACAGTTTCTGTCAGTAATCCTGCTCTGACATTAAAAACACTCTCACCTTAGTTACTACATTTGAAGCCTCTGACCGTCCCAAACCCTGCATAGTGCCGTCCGATCTACATTCCTACGATTTCTCACGCAGGGAAGCATGGTGAGTAAAGAACATGGACTTTAAAATTAGAAAGACCAGATTCGGGGTCTGGATCCACTATTGTGTTTCCTGATGAAAGCATCAGAAAATCATTAAAATTTCTGAGCTTTGGCTAAGATTAAACTATTCCATAGAGTCATTATAAGGATTAATTAGATAACATTTGAACATTTCTAGTAATTAGAGGTACTCAAATGGTAATTATTAGTAGTTTCATAAAAAATCAAAGTATTTAGATTGGGAAGGAAAACATAAAACTGTTTGTTCACAGATGATATGATCATCTATGTAGAAAATCCATAAGTGATTATGGCAGGGTTGTGGGATATAAAGTTCATATACACAAGTCAATCACTTTTCTATAGTCCAGCAATGAACAAGTAAAATGTTAAATAAAAAACACAGTACCCTTTACATTAGCACACACAAAAATGAAACACTTAGGTATAAATATTACAAAGTATGTACAAGACCTATGTAAGGAAAACTACAGAATGATAAGTGAAATCAAAGAAGAACTAAATAAAGAGATACTCTATGTTTATGGATAGGAAATCTCAATATGATCAGGATATCCACTTCCCAACTTGATCTATAGATTCACTTCAATCCCAATCAAAACCCTAGCAAGTTATTTTGTGAATATCGATGAACTGATTTTAAAGTTTGCATGAAGATGCAAAGGACCCAGGATCGCCAATACAATGTTGAAGCACTAAAAGCAAATTGGAGGAGTGGTCACTACCTCACCTCAAGACTTACTGTAAAGCTACAGCATCAAGACGATGGGGTGCTGGTGGAAGGGAAGGCCGACGGATCAGTGGAACAGAATAGCAAGCTCGGGAACAGACCCGCACGAATGCAGTCCGCTGCTCTTTGACAAGGAAGTGAACGCAGTACAATTGGATAAAGACAGTCTTCTGACAAAACGGAGCTGGAACAACTGCACATCCACAAGCAAAACATGTATACATATACGAATTCAGACAAACTTCACACCCTCCACAAAGACTAACTCAAAATTGATCACTGACCTAAACGTAAAATGCAAAATTGTAAAACTAGAAGATAGCACAGGAGAGAACCTAGATGACTTTGGGCACGGAGATCTTTTTTTAGATACAACACCAAAGACACAATCCACGAAAGAAATAATTGATAAGCTAGACTTCATTAAAATTAAAACTTCTGCTCTGTAAAAGATGCTGGCAAGAGAGGGGGAAGGCAAACCACAGATTGGGAGACACATTTGCAGAAGATATCCGGTAAAAGACTCTTACCCAAAATATACGAAGAA